ATGGTTACGAGCGACACTAGAGGGCATGAGCAAGACAACAAATGCCCTCATCTGCCACCACTGAAAAGCTCAAGTGTTTATTACAGGGCCAACGAACTTTTCTCAGTCTATCAGTAAAAGAGAAGGAAAGCAGACGTGAGGGGTGTCTCTGGCTGGCAGGATGAGTGCCAGGGTGCCAAGTCTCAGCACAGCCAACTGAGGAACAAGTTTCTGAAGTTAATTCCCAAGTGCAAAGCTAATCCACCCCTGGCAAGAACAGGACATTTATTTGCTTCACTGCTGTAGCCTCATTAAGACTTTTCCACATTTACAAGGCACGTTTTTCTAAGTTTGCATGGGAGGAAATGTGTCGCCCTATGTAAGGCAAACACAGGCTGAGGACACACTATGCCCTCCCTTCAGGTGCTGTTGAAAATCTACACAGAGGAGAATGACCTGCAAGCTGCCCATCAACCCAACACAGACCAGGGTGGTCCTGTGGGTTATAAAAATGCAGTTATCCCGTTATCAAACTCAGCTGCACAATAGTGCAGGGGGAGGAAGACTCAGGAAACCCACACTCCATTCATGGCAGTTGCTTTCTTGATGTGGTTTGTTCCACCTCAATTCCCTGATGACTGGGGGAGAACTCCACCATCATCTTCATCTGCTCTCCCACCGGGGAGTCCATAACTGGGGCAAATGTTGGCAAATCCAGCAAGTCATGTCACACACGTGTGTGCTGACACACAGGTTAGCAGCTGCAGCTCTGCCTGCAGGGCAGGATCACAGAAACACAGGGTTGGAAGGGACCTTAGAGATCATCTAATTCCAACCCCCTGCCATAGGCAGGGCCACCTTCCACTATCCCAGGTTGCTCCAAGCCCCGTCCAACCTGGCTTTGGACACTGCCAGGGATGGGGCAGCCACAGCTTCTCTGGGCAACCTGTGCCAGGTTCTCACCACCCTCACAGGGAAGAGTTTCTTCCCAATATCCCATCTAACCCTGCCCTCTGGCAGTTTGAGCCTGGTCTGGGGTGCATGGAAGGAAGAACCCTGATTTACTCCTTCTCTTCAGCTCTAGGACAAGATAGAGATTTTTCTTTTTCAGGACAAGGAGGTTGTATAGGTGAGCACTTCTCCACTGCCCTGTTTGCTCTCCTTCTCTCTCTCCTTGTAGACAAACACCACCAGTTTTGTGGCACAGGTTCCCATGGGAAGGGTGCATGCCTGAGCACCCAGCATCCTTCCCATTTGTGCAGGAGCAGAAGGGTGGCTCCAGACTGGCAAACAGCTTTGCTGGTCCTCTCAGTTCCCTCACAGGGGAATCCAGGCACCACAGCGACACTGAAACACCAAAGAGTTGGCAACATCCCTCTTATACAAACACAGTCCCAACACCTGGGATTCCTGCTCTGCAGGATATTTCCTAGCAAGGTCTCTCCCTGTATCTATCCATCACTGCCCCGTCACTTTATGGTCCAAATGGGACCAGCGTATCTGCTCTCCCCCTTCTCAGCTTATCTAACAGACCCTTCTTTGCCTCTGAACAGATTCCCTTCCAAGAGGATGGAAAATACAGGGCCAAAGCTATGCTGTGCTTCCACTTGACAACCAAATCCTGCCATGCCATTGGATCATACTCAGGTGGAATCATTTACCTCAGGGGCAGGGAAGGAGGGGCCTCCACGCAGGAAGCTGTTGGCACCTTTGAAAGTCAGCTGCTTTCCTGTGTCCTTTCAGAGTTCCCAGGTCCTGTGTCCACTGCAAAGACGTTGTGCAATCCCAAAGTTTTGCAACCATCACCTGACCCAGCTGCAGAGTCGGGATTCCGGGTTTCACCCCATCCCACCGCGCCGGAGCAGCTCCGGCCTCCTGCCCACCTGCACGCCCAAGCCCAGCCAAGGCTGCCTTTGCTCCTGGCACACTAAAGCTTGGTTTAAAGTGGCAGCTCAAGCTCTGCAGGGCAGGCTGAGAAAGCAGTGATGGAGATGTAGTGGATGGGAAGGAGCACATGATCACAGAATCTGAGAATGTTTGGGCTGGAAGGGACCTTAAAGCTCATCTTGTTCCACCCCCTGCCATGGGCAGGGACACCTTCTATTAGACCAGGTTGCTCCAAGCCCCGTCCAACCTGGCCTTGAACACTTCCAGGGATGGGGCAGCCACAACTTCCCTGGGCAAACTTCCATCTTTTTGGGTGAGTCCATATCCTCAGATTGCTCCAGACCCAGAATCATCACTTAGGATGCTGGTCCCACTCTGGGATCACCACTACTGTGGTAAATCCAATGTGACTCCCTCAGAGCACTCCAGACTTGCCCTGTAAATGCTGGAGAGCTCCAGCAACATCTCCTCACGCCTTGGCCAATCCCTGCCAGAGCTGGAGATGAACCATTCCCAAACTAAATCCCAAAGCCTGCATCTAGGTCGAGTCAAAGTCGAGGACAGCACAAAGCAAACTCTCACATGACCTTCCCCACCCATATTTAAGCCCTGTGCCAGGACAGCGTTACACCTAATTATGCCACAACACCAGAAGGAAGTATCTCAGGCAAGATCACCACATTATTCCTCTGGGAAAGTCTTTTCCACATTTTGGCAACAGGAACAGGCAGTGCCTTTGCAGGGACAGGTCTGGGAAGGCTGTGCCCTGCAGGGTGTTGCTGGATTAAGCCCCTGCCCAGACAAACACCTTCAAGCAAGAGGGAGAATTTAAAACTCATAACAACAGTAAAACCTAAACAAACAGTAAGGATTTGAGGGCTTTGCTTTGGAATAAAAGATTAATAGATGTATTGATTGAGTCGAGGGGCTGGGACAAAGGCTGAGAGCAGTGTTTATTTTTTAGCATCTATCTGTGGACTTGCCGTGCTCGTGTCCGAGCAAATATTGCGTTAAGGAAGTTTATGAACTCGCACGTGAAGTGTGGTTGGGTCACCTCCAGCTCAGCCCAAGGGTTACCTGAACATGGTGCCAGCAAAATACATCTGCAGGAGTTACAACAGCTTTACATGTAGGATTAAACCACAGCTAGCAGGGGATACTGAGGCCAAGGAAGCAGCAGAGGTGGAGGAGGGATGTGCTCTTCAGGCAAAAATGTAGGGCCAGGCAAAGTGTAGGGCCATTGGCAGATCCACAGGTGCTCCTGTCCCAGTGCTGCTGCACACACCTAATTTTGGGAGAATTTAGGAACAACCACAGCAGTGCAGCAGCTCAGGCACTGCTGAGTAATTCGGCCTTGTGCCAAAACTTGGGGACCCCGTTGGGCAAGAGGTGGGTCACTGCTTCTGCTGAGAGCTAAGTCTGAGCACAGAGAGGCTCAGAGAAACTCCAGGGGGTTTTTGGAAAGAGTCCTTCAAGACCTAATGCATCTTGCAGAGCTCCAGTCACTCTCAGTGATTAACCTGCTCCACCCACCAGACCTCCCTGCTTTCAGATCCTGACGTGAGGAACCAGATCCCATCTGAAGGCATCTCTTCCCACTGTCTCCCTGGTGTGCAAAGCCTCCAAAATGCCAGGCATGCAAAAACCACCTGGAAACTCCCCCCAAAAAATAATCCTTGGAGAGGTTGAACAGACCAACTGCAAACACAGTCATGGTGCTTTTCACCCTGCATCCTCGTTAAGCCTTTCCCACGTGGCTCGTTCTCCCTGACACAGCTCCGCAGCACAGGGACCCTGCTCTTGGGGAAGCTGAACATCACCCAATCCCACAGCAGCAGGAGACGGGGATGGGATGGGCAGGATGTTCTGAGTCCACGGAGAAGCTGAGACCCCTCTGCTAAATCCCCACATGCCTGCAAGGATGGACACCGGAGAGGCAGGGACCAGGGTGGTACAGCAGTAAAGCCAGAGCCGCGTTTCGTGTCGCTGTCGATTTGAAACACCGCTTTAAAAAAAAGCAACTATCACAGGAGAGGGAAAAACCCAGAAGCCTTAAGTGACCATTTTAAAGCTTTCAGCTCTTTAATTGTGGCTTTCCACACGCTGATGGAGAAACCAGTGCCCTCGCCACAAGAAGCCTCTCCCTGAAGTGCTCTCTACATCCCTGATATCCAGGGAGATGCCGACAGAGCATCTCGGAAAGAGACCTTCTGAACGTCCCAAAGGGAAGGAGGATGTCCCAGCCCTGAAGGTGAGGTGGTGGCAGTCACCCAAGTGAGAGTGAGGAAGGTGTGACAGCTCTCCAGAGGGAGCGGTGGTCAGTGCAGCTCCTGAATCCTGCTGAGAGGATGCTTTGCTCCTCCTCTCCCAAGGATGGCTCTTTAAAAACAGTTAGGGCTGTGCTACATCCTCACACAAAACCAGTGATAAATCTCCAGTCATGGTGCTCTGCAGCGTGTCGGAGTGTCTGAGCCTTGGGCTGGGCTCTGCACCATCCATCAAAGCCTGCCAAGGTCTCCATGGGGGAAGAGCTACCCAACTCATCTGGAAAACACTGAGAATCATCCACCTAAACCCCTCAATCACCACCAGCTTCACACCTCTTTGTGCTGCAGATCCAAGTGAATGCTTTCACATACCCTGAAGATGGCAGATTCCAGCCCTGCTTCCAAAAATTGTGCCTGTACTCGTGGTCCCAATCCCATTTCCTCCCAGTTGAGTCCCCAGTGCACTTTTGGATTTGCCTCCAGTCCCCCAACTCGCTTTTGGACATGAAGCATCAGCTCTCTGCTTGCTTTAGGAACTCTTGAAACGTGAACTGCAAATCTACACAGAGCTACATGAAATATAAGGGGTTCCCTTCAATAACACACATTTTCTGCTCTTATAGCTTGGCTGTTTTTCCCTCCTCTCCATCTCCTGAGCCTTTAAAATCCCACAGGACTAGAGAGAGGAAAAAAAAAAACAAACAACAAGGCAAGCAGGAAATAAAAAAGCAGGTGAGGAAACGGAAAAAAGGAAAAAAAAAGAGGAGTTCTTTCTATGGCCCAGATGAATTTAGCCCCCCAGCTGACCACGGCAAAGCAGCAATTCCTAGTGGGATGGTGGTGGGGTGGGGGGAGGTGGGTACTCACTGGTGCTTGTGCTAGTGCCGATGGTGTTGATGGTGGTGGGGACGGAGGAGGAGGAGTAGAGGGGCAGGTGGCCGTTCTCGCACGCCAGGTTTTTGTCCTGCCAGCTGGAAGCGCTGACGCTTATCCCCGAGTCCCGAGAGTTCTGCCACCCGTTGAGTTTGTCGTCGGAGTTCTGTCTTTGGTGATAGTAGTGAGCCTGCCCGTAGTCCACCGAGTCCGAGCGGCCCCGGCCCTGCCCGCCGAAGCCCCCCGACGTGCGGTCCTCCAGGTGGTTGAGCCACATGGCCAGGGCGCTCCTGTCCTCCAGGGAGGTGGCGGGGTGGATCAGGGCGTAGGACAGCAGCTGCCTGCTCTCCTCGATGTGCTGGTTGTGCTCGATCGAGTGCGCCAGGATTTTGGGCAGGAGTTTCATGTACTCGACCTTCGCCTCGATGTTGCCGGGCTTCAGTAAAGGCAGGTGGGTTAGCAAGAGGGAAATCACTTTATCCTTGGATTCCTGTTGCCACTGGTTGATGATTCCTGTTGGAGGAATGAGGGGGGAGAAAAAAGAAAGGAGATAATTGAGAGATTGGCAAACAGAGCTAATTAAGATATAAACAGAGCGTGGCAGGGTAAATCCAACATGGGATTTCTGCATCCAAAGGGATGTCTGTGTGTGTGATGCTCACATCCCAGGCAGGGGGGTTACCACGCTCCAGAAACCACGGTCAGGGCAAAGTGTGCACCACTGGATGCCAGAAGTTACCAGATGCTCTTGAAAATCACTAAAAATGCCAAACTACACTCAGCTCTACGGCCACACAACTCCACTGCTGTTATCCTAATCACAGTCATGATTTGGCCCAATTTTTTCCATATCGTTGCAGGTTACAGAAAACACTAAACAAAATCACTTGGTGGATAAAGCCAACCTTTTAGAAGTACTCACTGGAAAATGGAAAAGGTCAAGATTCAAACAAGATAACACAGGTGAGAGCCACGGAGGGAGAAGGGAAGAAGCATCCCAGCAGGAAAGCAATCACCCAACCAGGGTGCTGGTCCATCCACCAGCCCCAAAGGTACAGAGGGAAGGGCTCAGCTGAAGCAGCCTCAGAGCTCTTGTTCCTCTCTTAGCTCACAGCAGATAGAAGAGGTCTTAGAAGACCAGACAAAAAAAGCAAACATAGGGCTTAACTCTAAAAATTATGCAGAAGGAAAAGTCAGGGAATTACAAACTGGTCACTTAACTCGAACTCCTGGGAAACTGATGGAACAAATAATGAAACAACCTATTTGTAAGCACTTAGAAGATAACAAGATGATAAGTGACTGCCGACACCGATTTGTCAGGAACAATTTAATTTCCTTCTGCGACAGAGCAACCGGCCTGTGAATGGCTGGGGGAACAGGCTGAGCTGTACATCTTGATATTCATTAGGTGCTGCCACACACGGCTCCCTCAGCAGCACAGCAGACAGAAACTGCTCTAATGTGGGCACACAACTCATCCCAAAACCACAGGGAGGGAGCCGGTGGTGGTGATTCACCGTCAGACCGGGAGGATGTGCCGAGCAAGGAGACCTGTGCCGGCCCTGACACCGCCCAGCACGTCACCAGTGATGTGGGTGATGTGATAAACGTGCTCAATGTGCAGGTGCCATGGCAGGAGAAAGGAAAACACTCCAGAAAACTGGATTTGAAGTCAGCGCTGAGGACTTGAGGGAACGGAATGAAACTGTGTCTGAGGACGTTTAATTTGGATATTAGGAAAAAGTTCTTCCCCCAGAGGGTGGTTGGGCACTGAACAGGCTCCCCAGGGCAGTGGTCACAGCACCAAGGCTGCCAGAGCTCAAGGAGATTTTGGACAACGCTCTCAGGGACAGGGTGGGATTGCTGGGGTGCCCTGTGCAGGGCCAGGAGTTGGACTGGATGATCCTGGTGGGTCTCTTCCAACTCAGGATATTCTATGGTTCTGTGAGACTTGGAGAAGAGTTGGGGAAAAAAAATTCTGCATTAAGGAGGTGAAAGCACCTGAGTGCAGGTGGGAACAAATCACTGTGCAGCACCAGGTGGGGAAGAGCCTGGGTCAGGAAGCACCACAGGCTGAACATCATTCAGAACTGCACCAGCCAGCCTGTCATTCAGCTGAGAGGTGAAGACTGGCATGGACAAGCTGCTCTCCAATGGCTCATGATGCCCAGGGCAGTGGTGGAGTCCCCATCCCTGGAGGGATTTAAAACCTGCGTGGATGTGGCACTTGGGGACATGGGTCAGTGGTGGCCTTGGCACTGCTGGGAGAATGGCTGGACTTGATGATCTTAGAGGGCTTTTCCAACCTAACTGATTCTGTGAGCTGAACTGCAGCAACGGCACATGAAGCTGGACATGAAGAACTGCCTTCTATAGGGTAGGATAACCTACGACATTGTGAAATCTCCATCACCAGAGGTTTTTCTGAAGAGTTTATACAAGCCCCAACCAAGGACAGCTCAGGATCTACCTAGACCACCTGACTGACACTGCCCAGCCCCAGGACAGTCTCTCCTCCAGCGCTGACCAAGCCCCTCCAACCTTTCAGCCCCTGCAGCAGGCTGTGCCCAAGGATACCACAACTGAACCATCTCCTGCTTGCTTTAAACCCACTGCCCAAAACTGCACCAAGTGACATACTGAGCGCTCATGTTAGTAAAAAAAACCCCAGAACTTTACGTTCTCCCTCCCTGCCTGCTGTCTCCTCTCCATTCTGTACAGGAAGCTGCTCTGAATCACTGATTGTCCCTATATACTCCATGTGTTTTTGAGACAGGGTACTTGAACCCACAGCAGTGAAAAGCAGATCTGGATGTCCACCTGTAGGATCACACATCACAGAACAGAATCATAGAATATCCCAAGTTGGAGGGGACCCATAAGGATCACTGAGTCCAGCTCCTGGCCCTGCACAGGATATTCCCAAGGATCAATCCCACCATGTACCTGAGAGCCTTGTCCAAACACTCCTCAAGCTCTGGCAGGTTTGGTGCCGTGACCACTTCCCTGGGTTCACGGTTGCTCTTGGGAAGACCCAGGAGTTTAACCTGATGATCCTTGTCCAACTGCTAGCTGAGGATATTCCATGATTCTGTGATTCCATACGACCCATGCTGCTGGCCAGCAGCTGACCCACCCCTCCCACCACCCCAGCACCCCCTGACCCAGAAGAGGGCTCTTACAGTAGGGCCTTTTCCCAATTAGGACCAAACCCTGCACATCAGTTCCCGGGCACAACGGCGGTGCTGAGCAGCACTCGCCCTTCCAGCTTCGCCTTCCCAGTTCCAAGGTGTGCAACCATTTTAACAGGAAGCCACTAGATGGCTTGCTGGAAACGCCAGCAGCTCTCACTGGAACTTTCTGCAGTGGTATTTACTTCTCCACAGACCTACCCCTCCTCCAGAGCCGCTTCCCGAGCCAGCCGACGGCGTGCCCGGGATGTCTCGTGCCGAAAGGAGCATGGGACACGACGTGGCACAGCTTTGGTGGGGAAGGAACTGCTTTGCTGCAGCAGAGGTGACTTTTTGGTACTCTGAGTGTGCTCCCGTGCCCGTGGGAATGCTGTGAGGTTGTTTTGGTGCTAAAATATGGGATTTGGGAAAGCAAAGCTCAGCCTAAGAGAAGCTGTAAAAGGTACACAAGCACAGTGGGACTCAAGGTCCACCAGAGCACCTCCATATTTTCCATATGCAGATGTCAGTGCTACAGGCAAAGCTTCCTGTTGGGATTAATCTGATTTATCTGTCCCCTCTCTCTTGGCCAGTGGGTAGGTTGAAAATGTGTCCTATTTTCTCCCATCCTCCTGCAGAGAGGGATGTCACCCGTCCCCTCATCACCCCGGTGGGGTGTTTTGGCAGTGCTTCCAGGCTGGTACAGCCAAACCCAACCCTGGCACCAGCTGGGATTCTGCAACAGCTGGGATACACTGAGAAATCAAAGATCATTAAAAACAGGCCGGCAATGCCCTGCTCAAAGAAGTCAGTGCCACTTGTACATAGGAACCAAACGCACACAGAGGAAGCAGAGCCTGGTGTGAACTGGGTGCCGGAGAGGAGGAAGAGGAGGAGGAGGAGGAGGAGGAGGAGGAGGAGGAGGAGGAGGAGGAGGAGGAGGAGGAGGAGGAGGAGGAGGAGGATGGGGGAGGCAGGTGGCCATGGCTGGACTCCTTTTCCTCGCACGAGGGAGAGCTGAGTGTGAAGGTCACCACTGGAGAAACACAGGATGGTGCCAGAGCTGCTTCCTTGGAACCTTGTCTCAGACCTCCAAGAGATTTGGGGGTTTAAACCACAACCCCAAAAGATGGAGCACTGACCCAAAAGCCTGTGGCTGGTAAGGGACCGAGTGCTCTTCCCTGCCCCAGCCTGGGCAGGAGCTGCTCTCCCTCTCAGCCAGCAGCAGGATGTGCACAATTAAACAAAAATGGAAAATAATTAGATCCGAAAGAGGCTTGGCTCTCTCTGAGATGGGGCGGAAGGTCAGGCTTAATCCTATCTGCCAGAAAACAGAGGCATCTGGAGAGGGCGGCACAGGAGGGAGAAAGCTGGAGCTGCCTGTGGGCAGGGGGAGAGGGGCTGGTGATCCCCCAAAGCCTCTCTCCACCCTCTCCCTGAACACAGGAGACCCTGTTTTGGCTCCCTACCTGCTCCCACGCACTCTGGGCCATCTGGGCCATCTCACCCTTTACTGCCAGAACAAGCGCTCCGGGTCAGCCGCGATTAGGATGTGCCCTGGTTTTGGGGTCCCACATCCCAGGGTTTGACATGATACCTGTGGTGGGTCACACTAATCACATTAGGGCCTCATTAGTTCCCCCGGGTGCTGCTTCAGGAATGCCTGGTGCTTCCCATCACAAGGATTTTGATGTTTTATGGAATGTCACAACTACTGGTATTTGCGACAGGCAAATCTGAGCACAGAGAGAGCCCCAAAGTCAGAAACTCCCCCCTGCTGCCTTTAAACTCCTCAAAATCCCTGTCCTGCCTGTTGCTGTCATTGCCCTGACATGAGCTAAAATAACAACTGACCATGAGCACTGCAAGGAGCCAGCTCCCATCCCAGCCCTGTACTGATGGGAGTTGCTGGTGCCCCCAGAGCAAAAAATCCCAATTTTCATTATTGGACATTTTCTTGGGTGAGAAGCTGAATGAGGGTGGGAATTGAAACTACCTTCTACTGTAGGATTCCTTAATGACCAGGATTTTGCTGCTAGACAGCCCAGCTGATGTGTGTGCAGAGTGCCTGTGGATAAATCCAGCTCCAAATATAGCCGGGTCCTGCTTCCAAGGCTGAAACCTGTGCTTGTGCTATGAATAGGACCAACACTATCCCCAAAACTGGGGCTTCCTGACTGGGGAAAGAGGTGATGTTTGCCAATTTATTAAGCTCTCATGGGATTTCTCTGTCACAAATCTGCTTAATCTCTGCTGGATCCCTGCAAACTGTTAAGTGCCTCCACATCCAGTGGCATTGGATCCACCTCCAACACTGCACTGCATGGGGGACATTCCTGC